TTCAGTCACCGTCAGCGCCTTGCAAAGAAACGCTTTGAAAGAGAAGTGCTTTAGCGTTTCTTCCAAGGCTTGCACAGTCGATGGGTCGTCTTCTTCTGTGGAGGGGCTCCCCTGCTTCAGGTGGTTCAAGAGCAGGTACATGTCCGTGCCTTGGCAGCAGAGGCTAGATCACACCTGCGAGAATGACAGTGCCGAGGCAGCTGCCATGTCCTGGCAGAGCTTGCATGAAGACGTCACCGCCGAAATACTGGGCATGTAGCCTGCAGATGTCGAAGAACGCAATGTTGAGGCACACTAGGCTCATTGCTTTCGACTCTCGCCGCTCTCGCCTTGTGAGAGGCAATCCGAAGCCGTAGCCGGCCAGCTCCTTGCGCCAGGTGCAGCCGGAGTAGGGGTCCTCCTCGTCCTCGGCGCGGAGCTCATGCGGCGCACTGGGCAAAGCTGGTACGAGTACATATCCTCATGGTCGTTGTCTGCCGTGGTCCAGCCATACTGCCAGGCCTTGGTGGGGACAGGTCAAGGACCGGAGCGGGAGGCGAGTCGCCCATGCCTCATCTTGGACCTTCTTTGGCACACCACCGCCCTCCGGCAATGCCATTCCGCCACAAAGGATCGGACATTTCCAGCGACGCACTCGTGCTGCCTGGTCGCTGATCTTGATAATGACATGGACGTCACCTTTCTGTAGCTCTACCACCTGGATCCGAACGGGGCCATGCAAACGTGATAAGCAAAGCGCAAGCCATCGCTGCCCAGGCGCAACTTTGGGCATTACTGGCCTTAACATGCACCACAGATCGGAAAGCCAACATATGCTGACATAAGAAATATCTCACCAGTATCCTAGGAACCAAATGGCTTCTGCGACGCTTTGATCACGGCTACACGAGGTGTGTCAGGTCCGGCGTTGATGCCAGCCGTCTCGTGACGACAGGGAAACACGTGATCAGTGGGACACTGGGACAAGGAGACCCAGCGTGGGAAAGTCACAGATCTCTGATTCTGCCCAAAGTGCGTTTACACCCAAAAACACAACGTTCCCGGCTCATGGAAGCAGAAGCCACCGTGACGGACATGCAGAAATCGAGACACCAAGACAACCGATCACAAAAATCCGCGGTGGACACCTGAACTTGCTGGCCCAGGGATGGTGCATTGCAGGCTACATGAGCTCAAGATGCCCTCAGCCTCTCAGTCGACGGCTCAGAAGCAAAGCCGAAGTTCTGACGATCCCGAGGCCTCTGAACGGAGGAAATGCAGGCACTCCCCTCCCTCACATCGAGTCGCTGGCTTGTGCCGCTCCGTGGTGGCACGGACAGCATTCTTCAGAAGCTCCTGCTGAGCGGTCACGCTGCAATGTTCCGAGAGGTAGGTTCAGGCTCCTGGCACATGAATTGCACATGCCTTGGGATGTAGTCCAGCGTGCAGGACATGTTCCCGCGGAACCTCAGCGACTCGGATCCAAGAGCATCCGGGGGAAGGGGGTTTGGGGGTCCCGGAAACCGTGTGCTCCAGGCTCCCGGGCTCGATCTCTGGTGCCACGCCGTAGATGGCCTCCCCACATGCGACCCGCGACGTCCGCGGGACAGATTCGCTCCACGAGTCCGGACACCTCGGTGAGGCGAAGGATCTCCTGGCTGAGCTCCTGCGGCCGCGCTTTAAATGTACACGGCTCAAGCGGCGCCTGCGCCGCCCCGCCCCGTCCTGGATGATCCGATGCGGCGACATATCCCTTTGCACGACGCCTGCCAAAAACACATGCCATGGCCACAATAAGCACATCTTACCACCGGGCCTATAAAGCCTTCTTGCGGAGTACGCATCCGGATGTAGTTCTCCTTGAATGCCCATCTCTGATTCAAGACGCGCAGCCCGGAGCTGTTGCTCAACATCTGCAGCGCAAGACGCCATCAAGATGCGGACTGATATCCGTGTGATAAACAGACCTTAGCCGGAAACCTTCCCCAGCCACACACCGCAATCAGCCCAACAGCAGGGATGAACGAGACGCACTTCTGGGTGGATGCACGGTCTAGGAAAGTGTCCAAGCGGAAGTGGGGATATGCCATTCGCACCTCAAGCGCAGATCGACAAGAGGCAAGCCGGCTTCCTGAATAGGGAACGAGGGAACAGTCGAGTTTGGATGCGATGACGTGACGTTCGAAGTTGAATCCCAGCACTCCCAGCACTCTTAATGGTTTCGGTTGTTCGAGATTCCTGAGCACAAGTCTCTAGATTGGAACTTCGTTCGACTCTCCGTCGCACTTTGTCGCACACATCCCGTCGCCTCCCGATAGCCTTCAGCGACGAGCCGGGCCTCAAGTCGGGTGCCGTGTCGGGTTTGGACCCCCTGAGCCTCTGAGTGCCTAACCACAGCCTGATGTCTCTGAAGTTGCGCTTGAACAAGCCGAGCAAACTCGGCCTTCAAAATTCTTCTAATGAGTAAGTTGAGAAACCTGGGAAGCCTCAGGGGCCTCATCTTTCTCGGTCAAGATGCTGGGAAAGTCTGACACACTCTCGAACGTGTCGACGTAGATATCCAAGACCTGCACGTACCCGGCAGGTGGCCACACCGGGAAGCCCCGCGCGTCCCAAACCCAAAGCCGCAATGCACCTGCTTAAAGTTGTTGTTGTGCACCACTACGTACCTGCAGCTACAAGCCAAGCCTGTAGGTGCTTGCCTGAGTTCCTTCGCTACGAGTAAGGCTCCAGCGGAAGTTGCAGGAATTCATCCAGGCGACGGGCGAAGCGGATCGGGAGTTGGCCACGGAGCCATTGGCCCTGCCGGGCGACTGGGCTACGTTATGGCAGCCACCACGGTGACCAAACACTGTCAGCAGCGCAAGAGAATGTCAAAACCGGAGACGAGGCATTGCCTGGCGGATCAGCGACACCGGGTCCGACCGTGTGTTCCTGCGCCGTTCACTCGCCAATTCCCCTCCGCTGTCCGGTGGACTTGCCCTGCCTCATCAGCTGTCCCAACGTGATGGTGTTGGCATGTTGCTTCGCGAGCACTTGTATGTGCCGGAAGCTCCTGCCAACATGCAACAATATCGGTGTGAAAAGACCGAAGATGCCCGAAGGCTCTTCTATTGACCTGCTTGACGTCCCTGGCACAGCCTTGGCAATCCGGCAGTCATTGCTTGCGGCCGGGATGTGGGCCGGCCTACATGAGCTCGTGGTTACCATAGGCGTTCGCGAGACCAAAGTTCGAGTACTGAAGCTTCCCATCACAGCAATGAGCATCGACTGAAGTAAGTGTCTGATGGCTCGAGGTACGACTTTGCGAGTAATTAGCCCTCCGAGACAATCTGGGGAGCTGCGTGCCACTGAGAAAAGCTCCGCCTTTGTCTGCAATGCTTTCTTGGGCCGAAAGGCAAGCCAATCTTTTCGCGAGGTTGCAGTGATGAGAAGCTGTACGCATGTGGAGCGCCGGTTTTTGCTCTTCGATTTGCGGAAAATGGTGGGGCGGATCGACGGGTGGGGAGGCGGGCTAGGGTACATTTTTTTTGCCTCCCGCCTGACGAACCTACGATGCGGCGTCTCTTCTGGCAAAACAACGACCGAGTTCTCAGCCGACCTCCCACTCATCTGTATGTATGTGGCAAATCGGAGTTCAGGGGGCGCAAGTCCTCACCTTCGTGAGGTCTCTACTCGCCATCGAGGTGGTTTGCCCCAAAATCAAAACATGCACTGTACTGCCTCATCTACTCACTGCTCTGCTCTGTCATCCCACCACTTGACTTTAAGCGCCTAGTTAGTGGGGGGCCGGCGAAGGCCTTACGGACTGGAGGGCTCGGAGGATGGGGCAAAGGACTGCCGGTTAAGTTTCGAAAAAAATGAGATGAGGTAGTTTTTGATAGTTTGGGACACCACGCGACCAGCGGAACAAGCGGAAGCCCCCCCCAAAAAAAAACTATCTACAGTATCAACCCCACCCGGATTAGATAGTCTAGATAGTGTGGGGCACCACCCGGGACCACCCAAAGAGTATCTGAACTATCTAAAGCCTACTGCTTCAGATAGTATAGATGGTATGGGCAGTTTGGGGCACCACCCCGGACCACCCAAAGTAACCAAGCTATGTAAACCCCACCATGTGGAAGCCTTTGCCTCGGTGACACTTAGGTTTAGTCCGCGCTGCCTCCTCATCACTCGACTCCCGTCGATTCACATGCCATAGGCTGATGCATAGGCTGCAAATCTCAGGGCTTCGCCTAGGCCGCCGCAACTTTGCATGCATTCATCATCTATTGAATCTATTGATGCCTTCTTGCCCAACTTCGCCTATCAAATATCGTTTCACTGTTGCTGTGCCACCACGATCTTCGTTATCATCCTGATGAGGAGCTCTGTGGCAAAGACACGGTTGTCACTCTGCGCAAACAGAGCTGGAAGCTTCCCCTGCAATGCTTGTGCCCCTCGATTCAGAACCAGTTCGCGATCATGCGGGATCGAATTTCAACTCGACGAATAACCTCAGCAAGTGCTGCTTCCTCGAAGGAGTTTGTTCTTGAAGCCAAGTCAAAGTACTGGTATCGGCACTGGAAGACAAAGCCTCGTTCTGTTTGCATAGACATTGGAAGATCCCAGCGGGCAGATTCGGTCCATCACCTCGCGAGCGTCACCTCCACGCGCTCAGGCAATGCCTGATGCTGCGAGTGCGGCATTTAATGTTGAATTTCACGCGGGCCATCTATGCTACGGCTACGGGATGTCAGGGCGGTTGAAAGCTGCAGCAGTCTCTAAACTGGCAGCTACTCCGATTTCGCAAGCTACTATGTCTCCTGCAATGCGAGCGATGGCACGTGGCGACTGTATCCAGCGGCACCGCCAAGTCTCAACATGTGGCTGGACGTTTTAACAAAGTTATGACAACTAATTTTGGACAAGGCCATCGCGCAAGCAATCGCCGTCATTCGTCGGGATTGTGAAAAGCTGAACCCTGCTCGCACATGCTTAGCATGTGCCAACATGGGACTTTTGTTTTGGCGTCGGGGTCACTCTCGATGCCTCAAGTTCCCCATTCACTTCTGCCGCCCGGACCACAAGAGGATACACTTTCTCCACTCTGGGCTTCGAGCTCGACAGCACTCCAATCCAAGTCCCAAACCTGCTGCGAGACAGGGGCTGATTCATTCTCTTGCAATCACTAGCAGAGTCACTAGCATTCTGGATCCGAGTCCTCATCGTCATCCGTAGGGTCATGCAAAGCGGCACGTTCCGCCTCGTCTCCTTTGATTTGTAACTGCCGCAACACTGTGACCGACCTATCATGTTGTCTTTGCAAGCTGGCCTCTTGCATGCTCTACCTGCAGGCACCAAGCATTGAACATGTGATGCTGATTGCACATGGCACGGCTTTCTGCACTATCCCACACCTCGAGCACATCTTGACCTTCTGCTGGCTCTGCGTCGTCGTTCATAGTGTGCCTCGACAGAATCCCTCCCGTCCCTCGGCCTGATCCTTGGCTACGAACTTCAGATGTGAAAGCCTTGTGATGCCTTGTGGCATTCCCAAAGTCTCGCGACGAGTCTCTGTGGCGCTGGCTCTACGTAGCCCCCATGGCTTGGTCTGTCCGCCGCCTTCAGGATGGCCTGAGCCGAGCTGGGCTCGGTTCCCCCGCTCTGAATCGCGTTTTGGCCTGTTGGAGCATTCCCAGACTGCGGCGCTGCAAGCGAAGCCGCGCTTCCTCGTCCTTCAGCCTCCGCAGGAGTCCCAGGGAGGACTCGGAGTGGCCCCCTTGCACGGAGCTCGGACTGCGCTCGGAAGCCGGCGAGGAGGCGAGCTTCATCTGCCTGGGACGGACGGCGCTCTCTCGCTGCCGGCTTTCTCTCTCGCCCCGCTCGGGGCCCCCACGCCGACTCCTCTTCCAAGAGCTGCAGCTCGCGCCTCACGTTCCAGAAGGTGCCCACGCAGCTGTGCCTGCATGGTCGCGTCCAGGTCACCGGCTCCTCTGCCGATCTCCTCGACTCGAACAGAAGGGGGCTCAGCAGGCACAAGCACCTCCTCATCACCTTCCCCATGTCCCCATCATGCTTTCAAAGGCCGTCGCTGCGCTGCTTCTTGCCGTAACTCCAAGTCTTTGGCGGCAGCTTCGACCTGTCGCCACTGCCACTCTAATTGACGCGAACGCCGGCTTGCAAGTTGTGTCTCCGTTTACGTGCACAGGCCACAGTGCCACAGCTCCGTGGCACAAAGGACCGGAGCACGTCATGCGTTGGCGCCAGGGTTGCCAGCGAGGGACTTCGTGCCTCGTGCCTCTTCATGTGAGAATTTGCAGAGACTTCCCGCCAAATCTTCACAATAAAACCCCAGCATTGTTTAACAACTTCTTGTATATCGCCCAAAGAGCGTTTGGTCTGATGGATGTACAACACTACCGGCACAGGCATCTGTCGTTCCTCCCTCGCTCTTCTCTCTCCTCTCCGCTCGCTCAACAAGCTCAGCAGAAATTGCTGCCACGTGACCTGTGTCTGATTCTACAGGTGGCGATTGTGGAAATAGGTAGTCGGGGGGATACCACCATGTACAATTCTTGACGTGCTCAATTTCTTCAATCGAATTTTAACTCAGGGCTGGCAACCCAAAGATGGATGAGGATGTTGTCGGGAACAATACTCAGCTGTTAACAAGCGAGCCAGGTGGGAGGAGACACCGCGGCCCGCCATTTCACGTGCCCCCTACATGGAAAATTCCCTCAAGCGACGGGAACGCGAACCTTCGGAACCTGTCACGGTCAATTAGAGCTGGTTCCTGCACGTCTTGCGAGTCCAACAGTCAAAGCAGCTGTCGCCCGCCAGGCTTCAGCTTGCTAGGAAAATCTGGAAAAGTCTTGGATGCTTCTCCACAACGGGTTTTCCCATGTCTGCAGGGCAAGCGAAGTGCAAGGCCAGAATGATGTCAGTGTCATGCATCGGCCCCTCTCCATGGCATGGTTTCACCTCTCGTTTGTCTCGTACTAGGGCTGTTCGGTCGCTTCGGGTCCAATTTGGACCACTGCCAAGAGCACGGCAGACCACCACGCTGGAACACCATGCTCGAAGAGACTTTGGGGCAATAAAGGCGATTGCTGCTTCCAACAAGACAACAGGAGGTGAAAGGATAGGGTGGCTCTAGGCAACGAGACCTTTAGGCACGTCGCACCAATGCAGATGCCGGGCTCGCTGCAGAACTTGGACAAAAGCTGGCTCGATGGGCAAGCAGTGGAGTTGCGTCAATAAACAAGCGAGTGATTCTATATGAGCTCCTACCTAAAGTGTTAAGTCAGAGCCTTTCCTTCAGACAGTCTGCCTCTTCTCGTAGTCGCTGCAAGTCTGCTCGCTCTGCCTGCGCGGTGCGAAACAAGGCTCTTCGGCGAACGAGGGGCCGTAGCTCTGCAGGGCTTTCACCTCCAAAGCAATAGAAGTTGGCGATGGTTCTTCCACCGACTCCTTCGGAACTACCTCCAGTGATGCAGCGGACGTGCAAACACTCCACGCACTGAGGAGAAAGGGATAGAGAGACAGATGATACATAGAAAGACAAATAGATGGATAGGTGGCTGGATACATAGATAGATAGCCAGGCAGATGGATGAGCACAGGTGGTGGACCCCTGTGACCCACTGCGTTCGTAAACATGTCGTGACAACAAGGGCTGGCCAGGGCAATCACAAGACGCTAGAGACTGGGAACCTGCGCAATCCAATGTGGAGAGAACCAATGCTGCTTGTTGGGGTTCCATGAGCATCCCAACACTAAGGAATGGACACGCGCTCGAAATTCAAACCACCAGATGACTACACATCAGGATCTTGTGTGCTCTTCTTGCTCCAGAGAGCGAAGCGGCGTCTGCCGTTTGTGTTGAGTTGAGGCATCCTTCCAATTTAGTTGCCCCTGCCGAATGTTGGAATGAACGGCCGCCAAGGGGGACAGAGTGGAATCCGAATGAATATGACTTGCTACGGACTTAGCCGCAAGTCTTAGAGGACACGTCGAAGTAGGTTTAGGCGAGTTCCTCGCAACGCTTGGACGTGGATTTCAGTGCAAACCGGTCAAGCATCAACTTCAACTTGACCCACCCACGCACGCACGCACGCA